GCTAGTGTCTCTCCTGACAGTCGGCTGCCGCCTTCTCTAGTGCAAACTTTGGTTCCCATATTTATCCAGGCTTCCCAGTTTTTATTATTATCTGAAACTTTTGGGTTTTGTGGTGGGTTTGATGCTAAGATTGGTATTAACAGAGAAACGAGAATGTAAGTGGAGAAATTGGAGAGAAGACAAATGAAGTTGAGAATTACCGGCAAGAGTGGTCATGATAGGATTTAGACAAAGAAAGGGTCAGGTGTTGATACTGAGACAGAGATGTGAGAAATTTGTGGACGAGCATTGATAATCATATTTTATTATAATTTTATATCCTTATTATCTATTTTTAATGAATAAATATACCACTAATAATTATTTTTATCTTTAATTACAGGCTAATGAATAATAAAGCCCAAAAATCCCATCTCTCAACAAAAGCTCATGAATTAAATGAAGAACACAAGCAAGAGCCAAAAATTCCAAGCCCAGAATCAAGCCGAGTAGCTTGTAGAAGTCGGAGAAAATAAAAAAATCAAATATGAAAACAAAATGTATTCAAGATAGTTGGCCGCAAAGAAACGACGACATCTCTCAATTCGGAAGGCGGAATTTAACATATAATATATAAAAATCGCCTATCTCGACGGGACGAAGCCATCTGCGGAGGCAGATTTTTTATTGGACATCGATGCTGGTATCGATACCGACGAGTCAGTTACAGATCAATGGCTGATTTTTGATGGTTTTGGATAAGGATTCAATCCAAGGGCTCTCATTCACTGATGTTTACTATAAATAGAGATAGAAAGTGAGGGGTTACGGGTGTGAAAATTTTTATAATTCCTTTTAGAGAGGAGGGCTACTCTTAATTGAGAAGGCCTTCTAAATTTGTACTTTTTTGTTATAATTAATAAAAGAATTTTTTCACCACTTTAAAATTTTCTTTTCTTCTCTTTGTTGGATGATGAAGATGAAGATGAAGATGAAGATGGAGATTAATTTGAATGTTTATTTTTCTTATTTCTCTTTTATTGCTTATTAGTTTAGATTTATTTTCATGCTTGTAATTAGATTTTATTCTCTTTTTTAAATAGCCAAGAGGCTAGAACCCTCTTGCCTTAGATTTATTTCATACTTATAGATTAAATTTATTTTATGCTTATAAAATAGATTTTGGGTTTAGTTTTTTTTTGTTTATTTTTATTTTCTTTGATTCGTCTTTAGGCTAGAACCCTCTAGGGAATCATCATTTTCTAAGAAGTGGATTCAATTCTAGATTACTCGTATCTTTAATTGAATCCGTCATCTTTACTTTCTTGAATTTTATTTTCATTCTTGATTTTCTTTTTTGATTCTTGATTTTATTCATCTCTCCTTGTGGAAATCATTCATTCATTGTCATATCCACTCTCACTTACATTTTGTGCCTATTTACACACTATCACCTTCTTAATCTCTTCACAATCACATTCACTCATTACTCCTATTTGTCACATACACAACATAAGAACCGATTTTATATTTTCTCCTACAAAACACCTTCCTCGTGGGATCGATATCTTTATACTATAACTTGACACGGTTGTGTACTTGCAATATTTTTTGGTACATGTTTATGCCGCATCAAGCATTAAGCGGAGAGGGAGAGTCCAATAAGATTTCAAGCATTAAGCGGAGAGGGAGAGTCCAATAAGATTTCTTCTTGTTTTTGTTTCATTTTGTTATTAGAAATTGTAAGATCGTTTTACAAGGACCAGTTATTCATCCGAAAGATTTTGTAGTTTGTTTTACGTAGCAGCTATTAGTGACTGAATTGAGCTTGATGTTTAGGAGTTAGCTCAGTGATGTGGAAATACCAATTGGCACAATTGTAATAATAACACATGTAATATATTTAACTCATTTAGACAGTTGATTAATTAATTGTCACGTATAAGAATATTTTGTATGTTGTATAATCTTCGAAAAAGGTTCATCTATGTTAGTTGTTATGTTCTTATTTTGCTGCACTTGCATGTGTTTTGATCTTAATGGTAGCTCATTTAGTAAAAAAATCTGAAAGTATAGCAGGATAATATGTAAGTATAGCGGGATAATCTGAAAGTATAGCGTGATAATATGTAAGTATAATGAGATAATCTAAAAGTATAGCAGGATAATATGTAAGTATAGCAGGATAATTTGAAAATATATCAGGATAATATGTAAGTATAGCGAGATAATCTGAAAGTATAGCAGGATAATATGTAAGCATAGCGGGTTAATCTGAAAGTATAGCGGAATAATCTGAATGTATAGCCGGACAATATGTAAGTATAGCGGAACAATCTGAAATTAATGAAATTGAGATTTAATTATACCTTAAATTAAAGTGATAAATATCCACAAAAATCAAGCAACCATGTCGCATGCATTAATGAAGTTGAGAAGAGAGAGGGAAATTAATTGATGGGTTTAGTAGAATGGATGAATGAAATAATGAATGAGAGGGGGGAATTACTTGAGAAATTGAGAGAGAGAGAGAGAGAGAGAGAGAGAGAGAAACCTATATATTTTTCTCTCTTCCGCGTTTTTCCTTCTCTCTCCCATGCCCAACCGAGAAAGAGAAAAAGCGCAGGAACAATTTCTCTCCCTCTCATTAATTCTCAATTAATTATTTTTAAATATTTTTAAGGGGCCCCATAAATTAGAACACAAGAGATATGAGGGAAGGGTTTAATTTGGTTTTTTAAAAATTTAAAGGGGACCCACATATGTTTGTATTGTATTTTAGAAGTTGGATTTAGAGAGAGAAAGACGTAAAGTTATTTGGGTTCAATAATACAAAAATAAGTTATTGGGTTTATAAATAAATCATGATAAACAATTGGGCCTAGAAACAAAAACCTCTGTCTAAAATTTCGTGAAAGCGACTCCCGTCAAGAGAAATCCAATTTAGATCCTTGCAACTTCGGTGATTAATTTTGAATTAATTAAAATTTTGATAAACTTTTCTTACCTAATGAAAATTATATTAAATCCCTGCTTCACTTTGATCTCAGCGCCCAGACCAAAGGGCTCTGTTGTGTGACATATTATTTTAGCATTAAGCAATCATTTCTCTTGGAATTTTTTGTAGTTAGATTAGGATGTAAATTTGGATTTTTCTGATTCTTGTTAAATCACGAAAAAAGGACAAGAAAAGGATGTCACGGTCAAGATAAGAGAGAAAACATGAAACTCTAAGATTCTCATGAAATAATGAACTTTTATCATATTACCCATCTACTTCTAATACCAAATAGTCTGTATCTGACTTTATGCAGTACTTCTATTTGATACATATATTTAAGAAATCATTGTGTTAGGGCTGTTTGGATCGGGTATTTTGAAGGGGAAAGGAGGGGGAAAGCTGCCAATTTGTCAGCTTTTGACAGCTTTCCCCCAAAATCGTCTCTATGAGAGGCGATTTTGGGGGAAAGTTGCCAAAAAGCTGACAAATTGGCAGCTTTCCCCCTCCTTTCTCCTTCAAAATACCCGATCCAAACAGGCTAGTTGAGAGCTCATTCACCACAACTGTAATTGCAATGAAAATATCAGTTGCAACTGTTGTCGTGTGCTGTTACTTTGTTCATTTTGAAATTTCACAATTTAAAGGTGCACTTGTAGGTATAGGTGTTTCTTTCTTGTATCATTTCCCCCTGAAACTTATTTTCACCATTGGTTGCAAATGGAGATATATTAAAACCCCATTTACAACTGATAACTGCGGCTTTAGCCATTTTATCACCAGAGGCCTTTTTGAAATTATAGTTGCAACTGCATTTTATTAGTGGTAAACAAATAACTGCAAATGCAATTACCTCATAATAGTCGTGCATGCAACTGCAGCTACAATCAATTTATTTGCAGTGAACCAAATGGTGCAGTGATTATGTTCGAGTTTCTTAACTTTCAAAGTCTTATTCTAGCCATTTGAAATGGATTTTCTTTTTCTCGGAATTTAGTTTTTTGCTCTAATAACTTTAAGAATTTAGTTACTGCTACTAAACACAAATACAAGTACTGGTACAAAAATACTTAAACAAAAGATTGAAGCACCCATGAAAATAAAATAAGATAATAAATCCTCTCTAGTGTCTGTTACAAACACAAACATCAGCATGCAACGATATCTCGTACAACTAATGCTGACATCTTAAGAATGATACATGAAGAGAGACAGAAATATCACGATAACTCTGTTTAAATAATTGAAAAGTAATGTCAATACACAACAAAACGTTACAGATACAAGATACATGTTTTTCTCACTTTCATCCATGAAAACTGTGTTCTGTTGGTGATCCAGGAACAAAAGGAACAGACCCTCTTCCTCCAAATACTGGACGCATGCAGGCATCATCGAACTTCCGCCAGTAGTAATGAACAGTGTGAGTTGGTTTACTGAGGAGCATTCGGATGCTTGAAGGACGGAATAAATTACGGTTCTGTCCTCCTCCTTCAGCTTCAAATCCCGGTACGTTCTCAAGGAGCGGGGCTGAGAATTCTGATGTAAAACTCTCAGTGATGCCCTTTTGACCCGGAGGTAGAAGCAGCCTTATCAAAGGCTTTGTCAGCATTCCGAACACCTAATGCAGTAAAATTATGGTCATTATAGTACAAAACTTGTGAAATAATAACAATATGGTAGTCTATTTGTACATGTAAATTTCTTGGAAAAGAAAGATATACTCAGAATGTATAAGTGGGATTGCGAAGGTAGGGAATCCTATGATTACTTAAAATGAAAACTCTCTTTGAAAATAATAAATATTGAGTAAAGAGAAACACGTAAAGAATATTAAATTTTGGTAAGATAGTACCCATTATATGATGAGAAACAACACAATCATAATATTGGTGAATGTAATATGATTAGAAATTCATAAAACTGCCAGCAACCAAATCCTGACAGTAGTCAAGATATCAGTATGCACATGTCATATGCGCAATTGCTGGGGAACAAAGTTCCATTAAGAAATAATTGTTTTGTTAATGGTTATGGAGGAGGGGTTTTCTTGAAACAAAGTAAACACAAAAAAGGTTTCTTGTAATTTGCCCTTTAAAAAGATTATCGTAACAAGATTTATTTAGTTGTGAGCTACTTATTTTTTGACAAATAAAACTAAAATGCAAAGTTCAGACACCAAAGTAAAAGGATGTAATCAAGCAAGAGCGTAAAGTATACTTAATGATATAAATTCAACACAGGAGACTAGCAACGAAATATGTTCACCATTAAGACCTATGTCAAAGAGAAGATCAAACTATGAAACCTATAGCGAAGTTGTGGCTGTAGATTGTCACTCTATGTTGTAAGCGAGGAGCACCAAGGATGTCATTATTATGATTTATCAAGTAAAACACAAAAGATATGCACACGAAGATGCACAAAAATATATGGAGTCACAGCCTGAATCAACATACCATCGTGCTGAAGAGTACAACTGTTATGGTACTGGTGATCATGATTGCATTGGCCACTAGTTGTGTGTGACCAGATCTTGTAAACTGCAGATTTGAGCACACTTCATTTATCAGCAAAATGAGACTACGTATAGTGCACAAATTAAAAAAGTCGAACATATACCTTATTATAAGCAAGTGCAATTGATACAGCGCCTCTCATCAGACCAGCCCACCATATTGTAAACTGTATGTTACGAGGAATGAGTCAGATAATTAATTCTCGAATCAACTACCTTAGAAGCGGAAGAACAGAATGCTCAAGCACCCACTTGCTGCTTGAAGGTGATCTTTTCACCCGAATACTTCTTAGTGAAGTTGGACAAGAAAGAAAGTGGGAAGACAAAAGCAGCTCTGCCAACTAAAACCAAACCTAGCAGAATCGAGCTGACACCTATTGATTTAGCAGGACTGCAGAAGGTAAAGACAAAGTGCGTAAATACCAACCAATCCATTCAGTCAATAAAGATGACCAAACTTCAAATTTTAAAGCAAAAGGAAGTATAAGAAATATACTAAAGGAGGTATAAGAAATATACTAACGTATGTTCAATTATAAGCATAGACTTACATATCAATTCACGCAAAATTAGATGTAAGATGAATACTGTATTTAATGTTAGGAAGAAACAGAGATGGATCTATATTACAAATCAGACATCAGAAAATGCTTGTAAGCATCGTATCACACATTCCTTGAACACCTGCCTAGCTTTGTGTTGGTTGACTCATAGTGGTTCTTGGTCGACTGTGGTAATAATACCATTAGCTGGTGGGTAAGTCTTAAGCTTTTCTAGCACTATGAATTACTCATGCAGTTGGAAAGAGCGGCCTTGGTTATTTTTTGAGTGGTGGGGATGAAAGTAACATGAGTTTGAGATATGACGAGGAAGATGAGGAAATATAAGACTTTTCTGCCATAATCTTGCGTTGTTCCACAACATAGTGATTATCTCCTTTGATGAGCAACTTAGTATTCCAGGTTTCTCTGTACACACATTGTGTTCTTGATTTTCATTGCATAGTGTGAGTGATCTTAGGGTGTAAACATGCAAGTTCGTTGTCATTCCCACCAAAGCTAACAAAACGTATAGAAAGCAGTTTTTGGAGCCAATTCAGTTGATATATCATAACCGCAATATGGATTACATCAGATCTTTGTTCATCATTATATGCATTTGATAAGCACCACCATGCACACGCACATGTTTGTGTCCGCGCTCATGTACCCACTCATCCACTAACACCCAAGCACATGCATACAAAATAACCGGGATCACAGACCATTAAAAAATGTGTTGAAGACCTTGTCTTTGATCAGGGGTTTTTCCTTCCTTCTCAAAATAAATGTCAACGTAATGGTAGTTCTAACCACATGTAGAATATACAGATAATGTTCAAATAATTGTCTAGAGATCAGATAAAACAACTCACGTATCCTTGACAAATTTCCACTTCTCAATGTCTAATGCATCCATGCCAACATACAGGAAGAGGAAGATCTCAGCAATAAAAGACAAAGTTGCAAAAGCATGCCTGCAGAAAAATTAATAAAGAAAAAATTATTAGTTGAATCAAGGGTGCATGAACGCAACAATAACTTCGCTTGATGAAGCACCCAAGAGGACAGCATACTTGGTGGTAATTCTTGAACTCTCTGTCACATTGTGCCAGGTATAGTGAGACATTACTATCCCACAAAAGAACATTGTCAGAATACCACTTAGATCTAATAACTGCAATGAAATTGAACTTGTCAATATCTCCGATGGCATTCAATAGAACGAAAAGGAAATGCATATTTTAGAACTTGTCTGGTTTTAGCCGAGAAGATTCTCACCTCAGCTATTGTATATGAAAGGTAAGCCATAAGCATCATGAGTGCAACTTCACGATCAGTAGAATGTCTGTTGTTAAAAGATATGTTAGTGACAAGTGACAGTTGCATTAATAACTATAGAAGAATGTGCAATGTGATCGTTCTACATTGTGCCGCCTTTACATTTAATTTAAGAGCATCATGTTATAATCTCACCAAAAATGGTTTCTTTTTTTTTCCTTTTTTGATCTCCTTCTACTTTTTAACTTTTCTTCAATGATATTAATGGGAGGCAAAGTCTTCCCATGGTTTTTTTAAAAAGGTCACTGAAACATTCGTCAAGTCCTACATTTTCAGCTGATCATTAGAAAGCAATGATCAAGCTAATAACTAATACAACTAATGATCGTCGACATGCCAGCTAGTTGACTAAAATGTTCACAGAGGCTAACAAAGTTGACAACTATAATGAAAGGAACACTAGCACATTTATCTTCAGGTCTATGTACAACCAAAGTAAAATATAAACATTATCAAGTTAAATATTCCACAAACCTGCCAAAATACAATTTTTTGATGATGTAGGCACTAAGTAATCCAGCCTGCAGATGAGATATATTTTAGCCAATATACATGTAATAGAAAAGAGAGGGGAGGATTAAAAACTTACGAATGCTCCCAAGAAGGTGCTGGATGCAAATAAATAAAAGAAGTTCCCTAAGAACTTCAGTGCTATGAGAACATCAATGTGCTCGAGATCAAAATTCTGTATTGCGTTAAAAAGCACCACAGATGTGGCATCATTTACGACACCCTCACCAAAAACCAAGCTATATAGCAAAGGCGTCTCATCCTGATTAAGAACCTGTGAAGAAGTAAAAAACTTCTGATTAAAACAAAATTTTATTTTAAAAGTTACGATAAAGGCACTACTAAACATTAAATTTTCAAACCTGCAAGGTGCAAACAGAGTCTGTTGCAGAAAAGATAGCCCCAAGTGCTGCAAATAAACAGATGTGTAAATAGAAAGAAAGACCAATTGCAAAGAAATGAAAACAGTCCAGGAAACAAACAGATGGAAGTAGAGAAGTTACCAAGAAAATCTCCAATCTCCAGACCTATATCCATATTCCTAAATAATCCCATTGCACCTGGTTTAAATAAAAAATAGACAAAAGAGAAAAACTCAAAATTAGATATTATACAACATATTGAGGAAAAGCGAACTTTATCTAACAGGGGAAATAGAAAACCTGTGTTGTCTCAGCACTATAAAATAAGTTTAATCTAATGGATCTATGTAGGGAACTATCCAGATTAAGTCTAGTGGAACAAAACTTATCACATGCCTTGCAAATTCATTTGTAAGAATTTATAAATTGCCGTATATTCCATTAATTAATATTAAAGAAATCAGTTTCATTATAAATATTTCCATCTGAAGGAGTCTAGACATTGTATTAACGACTCGATTTTTACCTAAGAACTTATCAGGATTGAACAGTACAATGGATCGCAATACTTAAGTTAACATCTTACCAAAAGAAATAATGAAGAATGAGATAAGGGTTCCAACTGCACCAAAGAGCACAATCGTCATAAAATTGCGGAAGAACTGTTTCTTTTTCACTTGAAACCTGATTTAAAAAAAATTGAGACTTAGTAAGCAACAAACGGGTACTAAATCCTAAGATACTAATTATATTAAGTTTAAAAACTGAAAGATGAGTGATTGAAAGGAGCAACCACATCATGACCCCGTCAAGAAGAAGCAAGAAAATGGATACATAAAAGCACCAATTTTCATGGACGATTTAAGATTGAATAGCTTTTTGGATTGCCCCAAACACTAAAACCTTCAGCTTTCTTTGTCTAAGATTACTTTAACAGTCAAAATTTCATCAAATTCCTGAGCAAAGACCCTAAAAAAAGGTTGCCTGAAGGAGTACAAGTACAAGAGAGAAGACACTAAATTGGCCTCCAATAAGCTAATCAGCCACCAGACAAGCACTTGTTGTGCAATCATTTTGGAATCACTTAGCGCTTCATAGTTTTTCCAGTTTGGGATAATATTAGCATTTCAATCAGCTTCTTGCTTCCGCAAGTAAGAATTGTGCTTCAAATCTCATAGTAATACTCTTCTCATTGTTGAAACTCTTGTCAAGCTTGATAACTCCTTATGGGTTACTAAAGTTCAAATGGCGAGCCCGAGTTTGCAAACTTTCATACGAGAGCTGTAAGAAGAAGCCTTTTCCTATGGCAGAGTGACTACTTCTCATAATATCTAACTATTCTGTTCATATATAGCTGTAGAAATATGCCAATGCTTCCAATTGAAGTAAAAAAAATCCGCATAACATTCTCTGTTGTTAGCAAGTAATGCTAGCAACTACTAAGATTTAGGCCCAACATCCCAAAAAAATTTCAAAAAGAAGGCGAAACAGAGGAAGATCAACCGAACCCATCAAAATAAACTGAAAAGGTCCGAAAAAGAAAAAAAAAAGCGAAAAATTACCCAGCGTTGAATATAATTGGTGGCAGCAGGTAAATAAAGAATAGATCCTCGCTGAACATCAAAACATGAGATTTCTTCCCGTTGGTGGTAAGCAAAATCAAAGCGCCAGTGAGCAACCCCTGCCATCAAATCAAATTAAAAACAGGAAGGAAAAAAGAAGAAGAAGAAGAAGAAGCTGAATTCCGTTGTTCATACCAAAATTAAAACTTTATTAGCTAAAAAGCACCTCAAGGTTTCGCTATTTTAACGTTAATATATTATTATATGTGACATCACATGCCAAAATCCCGTTCTTCCTTTCAAGCATAATCCCAAACACAATTGACTCGGGTTTCCCCTTAAATTCTAAAATGTTCGTAACATAGTCAAAAGTGGTCAAATTCCGGATTTTTTTTAAAGCAAAATTGGAACTTTAGGGTATTAAATGGGAATTAACCCAATAAAAAAATCAAAACTAAACAAGAATTACTAACAATGGCGAGGGCAGTGATGGATTCGTTCATCCATCGATTCTCCTCAAGCAAGTGCCCAATCACAATACAAGCACAGAGCAACGCAACAAAGAGATTGATGGAGACAATGGAGGCGTGATCCGACGTGGCCTTTAGAATCCCCAATCGAACCAAGTGCGCCCCAAATTCGAACCCCATGGCGAATTCTTCCCTCTTTCGCCCAGAAGGAAAAAAGAACCAAAAAAAGAAAAGAAAAACAGAGAGAGATATTAGGGCCAAAAACGAAGCATTAATGGAGGAGAATTGGATGGGTATCCTAAATGAGGCAACTCGGAGCTGATATTGGAAGAAATTTAATGGAAGCTCGTCGCAATCAAATCCTTCTATTTTTAAATTCTCTCTCTCTCTTAAAAAAAAAAAGAGATATTTCTGTGAGAGAGAGAGAGAGAGAGAGAGAGGAATGTACGATTTCACCGTGCGGATTTACGTGGAATCCAGAGAAGCGGCGAAGGAGGAAGGACACGTGGCGGTTTGTGATCTGGTGGTTGGCTGTTTGGTGTTCAGTGAACAGAGAATACAGCGGCCAGCGCGCGGTAGGCGGTTTGAACTCTTGCGTTACGGCGTAAATGTCATATACCCCCTGAAGTCGGACTGATTTTTAACGAGCTCCTGAAGTCCGAAAGTTCAAGGAATTTCATCAAACCCCTTGAGCTTCCACGAAGCATCACACAAACATTAGAGTACAATTTTCTAGCAGAATGCATTAATTGTTAACTATTCTTTTATATTTTAAATTTAATTTTATTAATGTAATTTATTGCGAATATCATTAATTGCAAGGTTTTTTTTAACACGTTCAATAAAATGTAGCTAATTGATTAGAGCCTTGCGGATAAGAAATAAGTTAACAAGCTAAGTCTATGTATAAACATATGAATTGAATTCGATTCAATTTAATGTTCGGAGTGAATTCAAGTATCTCAATAGAAACGAATTCGAATGGTGTCGTATTCAATTTGATTCAAGAATTAGAGTAATATGTTCGAGCGGCTTTATAGTGGGAGAAGGGATATTTTTTTGAAAAAAAGGCATTTCATTTTATTAAACTTTTCGAAAGTTGAGGGGATTATGTGAAATTTCCTAGGGGTTTTCTTTAATTTTTAAAGTTTAGAGAGTTTCTCTGCAAATCACATAAAAGTTAGGGGTTTTTCTAAATATTATCCAAATTTATGTCTGCCTCGCACCCTCCTCTACCGTTCGAGGGCCGTTGGATCTGACCATTAGAAGTGGGACCCACACCCACCGTTCGAATGATACAGGGAGCTCGGATTATAAGGGGCTGTTTAGATGTCTTTAGGAAACTAGAATATTTATGACACAAAATAAAAAGTGGTTATCCACATCATCACTTTCCATTCGAGTGTTTACATTCTTTGGTTAGGAATCTTTGTGAATCATAAAATAATAGTATTACATTGTTTGGATAGTATAATGTAAACTAGAGTATTTATGACACAAAATGGAAAGTGGTTATCCAACTCACCACTTTCTATAGTTTTGACTTTATTATTATTATTTTGGACACATTTATGACATTGTGTCAGCTTTCCAACAAAATCACTCCTAATTTTGATGATTTTGCTTTCAGTGACACCTCATCAAAAGGTGTAAGCTTTTTATGTAAAATAGAATTTAAACAAACAATATAAAGTGATGAAAACTAACATTGGAACCCACTTTTTTATACTTTCCGTCTTTTTACATGATAAAAACATACAACCAAACAGCCCCTAATTGGGACTATGAGGGCCAGAAATAGGCCCTTTGGCGATCATGTCTTAATACGAACAGCAAACAGCAAGCGCGTAATCATACACTATAAAATCTTTGGCATATGTCAGTATTATGAGGTACGATGAAATTACACCGTTAATCCTAGAGTCTATATATCTGCATAGATAATCCTAAAAATAATGGTTGTCATTACACGAGTAATCTTTGTTTTTTATCTGAACTCTTAAAAATAATGATCGTCATTACACGAGTAATCCTTGTTTTTTTATCTGAACTCTATAATGACTCGTGCGGTTACAATTAGTAATCTTAAAACTATCCATGTATATTTACAAACTCCGAAATAACCCGTGTAATAACACGATACTTCACGGTACTGAAATGTAATTTATACTAAATCTTAAGTCGGGATCGAATTACTTGATGAGTTCCTTTTGTTTTCATGAAAATGTGGGCCCTCTGGCTTTTTAAGAATGTTCTTGCTGTGTGGGCCTCAAAATTTAATAGCGTTTGGACCATTGTAATATTAAAGCGAGGCCGCCACAATCAGAGATGATGACTCCAACTTGGTTACTACAAGTGGATTCAGATTTAGATCAGATCCAACTTGGCTCACTCATGATTCAAATCTAAACTTCTTAGTCATAATAGTCCAATTAAGGCGATAAAAGTATTAAAATTGATAAGCAAATATAAAAATAACTTGTAAAGTTGTATAATAGAAATAGCGATCATAGTACTCCTCTGTTTGTTTCAGATATTTTTAGAAGTCGGGAAAATAATATTTTTTCCCCATCCTTCGATTTTGAGTTTGGATTTTTAAAAGTATAAAAGGAGAGGCAAATAGAAGCACTAACTTTTTTTTTCCAATAATCACGTACGTTTTAGCCCTTCTGAGCCTTGAGGTCAGAAACAAATTTAAGTAGTAAGAAGTCACGTAAGAGCCAAATCAATATTTACAGTACTAGAGATAGTCTTTTTTAGATAAACAAATAAATCTTTTTGCTAAAAAAATATGGAACTTTATCATCTACAATACTTCAGCTATTTTACAGTTACTTCATTGCAAACAAAATGGAGCCTAAGTTGTTGTTTGGTTGTGAGGAAATAGGATCACAGATATAAATATCGTTGTCGATTTAGATTTAACTTTTTGACTTACAGCATTGTGTAATTAGAAAACATTAAACATTTTATAGAAAAAGTTGCAGCAAATGTTACGGTCAATTTGGTGAGGGCAAACGTTTGTAAAACAAAATTAAGAACTAAAAATAATTAAATCTCATAAAAACCAACCGTTTCTATTCCAACTAGATAATTGAATTAAATACAGTTTTAACATTAGTTATTTTCAGTCAAACACTGAATTTGCATTAAAATATATTTTTAGTCAAACACTGAATTTGTATTAGAAATATATTTCTCGCAATAAATCTCATAGGTTTATCCAAAAAAATTGCATTACTATAAATTATGGACAATATTATTATTACTATTGTAGTAATTATGATTGAGAAACTTAGGAAAAATTAATTACGGAATTGCTTAGATTTATATAATGTTTTCCATGTTATGTTAACACTGACACTTATTAATGCGAATCCATTCATGAATACTTAACTTTGGACAACTGTTTTTCTACTATTTATTTTAAGAGAATAAAAGAATTTAGATCTGGATTGATGCCAATCGCATAATTAGCTAGCTAATCACTCTGTCCCAACAATAAACAATGTTCAAACTAATTAAATAATTAGATCAATAAGAACATGTTGGTTTCATCTTAAGCTAATTAATAAAGTGTATGATTGTGTTTTATAGGACATGAAAGTGGTGCATTGGCGTAACTTTGTGAGTGAACTTGGACCACATTATATAACTAAAGCAATGCAATGTGATTGTTTTTCTTCCTCTTGTTGCCAATGTGGGTGTTAGGATCTTTCATTAGCATATATGGTCGGAACTTTAATATCAAATCCTTATACACATGACTTTATTAATTTTTTACCATCTATTTTCGACGCATTTCTCTTGCACATCGGTAGAAAAAGTTTCCACACAAACGAATTCTTATTACCAGTGCGGCAGTGCCAACGGGTCGGATACGACTCGAATATCATACATACCATTTATTCTTTAGATAACTGTTAGAATTAATATAAAATTATAATCCTTGATCCTCATCATAACTCCGGAGTTTTGATGTAATGATTAGAGGAACTAAATTTAAGATGATATCAGAGCAACTCAGGTTCAAATCACACCGACCGTGAATTAAATGCGGATTTTCTAAAAATCGACACCGCTACGTGAGTCCAGGTTTTGACCCATAAAAAAAGGACGCTCGACCTGCGGGGGCATGTTAAAATTAATATAAAACTATAATCCTTAATCATCACCATAACTTCGTAATTTTTTTTAGTCTAATGGCTAAATTTAAGAATAACATAGTGCACAGTTAGCCAAACAAAACAGTAGCTATTATTTGGCTACATGACACTTTGTCTAAACATCAAATCAGATTGGGTGGCACTAGGGGCACACCCCCAACCACATCTCAAAATCATTTTCCAATCGGATTCTGACTACTTCCATTATTATACTGACACTACAATCGGTGCGTTGGGCTAACTTGTGGACCGAACAGTGGCCGGAACCAATTTTGGGGCACGCCACAGAGGCATCACATGGAAAATGGAACCCATAAGCTCAAAGTTTTGATATGATAAGTAGCCAAGGTTATATTTTGGAGCCACATGCAAACGCATTTCCTCCACACGTTTCCTTTCCTTCTATTAAGCGAATGGTTACGAGATTCTCTTTCTTCTTCACATTGAGGAACAACTAACAAGCCAAGATTAAATCATGTGGATGGTGGAGAGATGCGTAACTGGAATTGGGTTCTGATGCTAAAATGCTTAGAACTCTTTGACTTGTATACGTGTACCATGATGGTTAGGTATGACTGTCTTAACTCCCTTTTTGTGACGAGAGATTCTTATTATCTTTTGATTGTTATCTCCTAGCTAGCTCTAAATTAAGAGAACTAAATTAAGAGAAGTTTTAGTTGTAGTTATCATTTGGGCTTTTATTTCATATTGGTCCTTCACATCTTTATTATTTTGAATTAAATCCTATTAATATTTTTTTA